CAGTGTTTTTTGGGTTTTTTTTCCCCAGGGTTTAATACAGTTAAACTTATTTTTATACATTTACTGGATATTCATATGTCTTCTTTTGTGAAGGATGTATTCAGATCTTTTGCTCGTTTTTATATTGGGTGGTTTGTCCTCATGGAATTAGAAGACTTTTTAGTATGTATACTGGATACTAGTTCTCTATCAGATATATGTATTGCAAATATTTTCTTTCTGTAGCTTGCTATCCATTTTTTTTCTGTTATGGTTCATGCTTCCATACCTTGAGAAATCTACTCCAAGGTTGCAAAGTTATTCCCTATGTTTTCTTCTAATAGTTTTATTGTTTCAGCTCTTATATTTAGTTTTGTGATACATTTCAAGGTAAATTTTTGAGTATTAGTATGAAGCAAGATAGAAATTTTGTTGGGTTTTTTTTTTTTTTTTTGATTTATAGTCTGGGGTAAGACTGAGATTTTTTATTGTGTTTTGCATCTGGGTACCCATTATTCCAGGACAATTTGTCAAAAAAAAAAAAAACAGTTATTTCTCCACCTTTCTAAAAAATCAGTCATGTGGGTTTATTTCTGGACTCTATCCTTTTATATTGATTTCTATTTCTATCCTTTAGCTAATTCCATATTGCCTTGATTATAGCTTTATCCTAAGTCTTGAAATCAGATAGTAAGTCCTCCAATTATTCTTTTTCAAATTTGTTGGACTATTCTAGGAACTTTGGATTTCTATGTAAATTTCAGAATTAACTGATCAGTTTCTCCAAAAATCTTATGGGGTTTGCATTGGAATTCCATTAAAACTATAGATCAGTTTAGAAAGATTTGAGTCTTGTATTCCCTGAACAGGATATACTTCTCTATTTATTTAGGCTTTCTTTACTTACTCTCCCAATATTTTGTACTTTTTTTTTTTTTTTTTATTTTTGGGACAGAGAGAGACAGAGCATGGAACGGGGAGGCAGAGAGAGAGGGAGACACAGAATGGAAACAGGGACGCTTAACCGACTGCACCACCCAGGCGCCCCATATTTTGTACTTTTAATTGTGGGGCTAATTCATGCACATATATTGTCAAATTTCTCCAAAAATATTTCATGGTTTTTTCAATTGATCATAAATGGAATTTTTAAAATTTCAGTTTCTAAAGTAAGATTTTAATATTTTGAAGTGTTTTGCAACTTGTTTTTTGGAATAGCGTGTGGTTTATCTTGGTGTACATTCTAGATGCACTAAAGAATGTATATTCCAGAAGCAGTGCTATCAACAATAGCCAAATTATGGGAAGAGCCCAAATGTCCATCAACTGATGAATGGATGAGAGGATGTGGCGTGTGTGTGTGTGTGTGTGTGTGTGTGTGTGTGTGTATATGTATATATATATATATATGTGTGTATATATATATAATGGAATACTACTCAGCAATGAAAAAGAATGAAATATCTTGCCATTTGCAACAATGTAGATGTATCTGGAGGATATTATGCTAAGCAAAATAAGTCAGTCAGAGAAAGACAGATATCATATGATTTTACTCATATGTGGAATTTGAGAAACTCAACAGATGAACATAGGGGAAGGAAGGAAAAATAAGATAAAAACAGAGAGGGAGGCAAATCATAAGAGACTCCAAATACAGAGAACAAACAGGGTTGATGGGAGTAGGGTAATTGGTGATGGGCATTAAGAAGGGCACTTGTTGGGATGAGCACTGGGTGTTATATGTAAGAGATGAATCACTTGGTTCTACTCCTAAAGCCCAGACTACACTGTATGTTAACTAACGAGAATAAAAAAAAAAAAAATGTATATTCTGGAACTGTATATTATCTAATTCAAAGTGGTTGATAAGGTTCAGATTTTCTATTTTCGAAATGATTTTTCTCTTTAGCTGTTCTGCCAGTTACTAAGAAATGTATGATAAAATCTCCAAGTTGAACTTATGTCTATCTTTACTTAGTTCTGTCAGTTTTGCTTTAAACAGTTGTATTTTTTTCAGAAATTCAAAGAAACAATTTATCCACACACATCTATGCACATAAGTACATATATACATGATCACAGAGTGTTATAATTTCTTACATATTTGTCATTATTTATATTCTTTATTCCTTCCTGTAAATGCAGTTTAACGTGTTGTGTAATTTTCCTTTAGCTTTTAGGTCCTGTAGTACAAGTCTGCTGTCCTATCTCAAAATAGTATTTCACCTCAGTTGTTGAATGTGTTTTACACATTGATAATTTTTTATTACTTGTTTCTCTTTCAACTAATAATATATAATTACCATATCCTCCAGCCTTTGTTGTTTCAGATGAAAAATCAGTTGTTGATTTTATCATTGTGCCTCTGTATGTCATATGTCATTTCTCCCTGCTGCTTCTAAGATTTAACCATGGTGTACTTAGATTTGGGGAGTTCTTTTTGTTTTTTTTTTTGTTTTTTTGTTTTTTGTTTTTTTTGCATTTATCCTAGGAGAGGCTTCTTATGCTTCTTAGATCTGTAACTGAATATTTGATCAAATAGAAAATTTAAATACTGTTTCTGTTATTGTCTCCCAGTGACTAGGACTCATGTTTTGGACTGCTCTGTATTGTTCCACATCTCTGAGGTTCTGTTCAATTTTCTTAATTTTTTTCCTTGTTCTTCAAATTTCATCATTTCTGTTGATCTCCCTTCAGATGTACTGATTGTTTTTTTTCCTTCCTTCATCTCCAATCTACTCATGAAATCACAAATAAGTTTTTCCTATAAGGAATAATAATTTCAAGCTCTAAATTTTCTGTCATTCATTTGTATAGTTTCTCGTCGTCTTTCGATATTCCTTTTCTGTTCACTTATTGATATATTTTCCTTTAATACTTTTAATGCATTTTACTTTGAGTCCGTTTCTGTAGGTTGTGTTTTCCTTAGTATGGATCACATTCAGTAATTTTTGGTTGAAATCTTTACACTGTAAAAAATGCATTGATTATGAATTCTATTCTGTTTTCCTGAGGATTTCAGGTTTTTTGTTTTAATAGACAGTTAATTTGCCTGATCTTAAATTAACTCTCATTTCAATATATTGTGCAGCAGATAGTATCTCTGCTCGATTTTCCAGATTTTAGGTTTTGCTTTTTTAACTTGGTCACACAGAGCTGTCTCTTACAATCAGAATTTAGAAGAGAACCAAATATTTGCACAGAACTTATACTCGGATTTGGGGGCTCACACTTTCTATGGTTCTCAGCCCTGAGTTTTGTCCTCTGCCACCTCAAGTCAGTGAGACTTCAGCTTTCTTTAATACAAGATTCTGCTCTCAGGTGGGGAAATAAATGCCTTCAGGGGAGCATTAAATTTGTAAATCTCACATGATTTAATTGTCTTTCAAGTTTATCCTGTTCTCTCTTTCCTACTTAACTGTTTCTTTCTCCCTCTCATGCATAGATAATAGATGGCTTAGAGGTCAACCAGGGATTTGGGCACATTTGATAACATTTGCAGAACTCTTACTTCAAGGGTTTTTCCCTTAAACTTTCAGCTGTTTTCTGAACTCTACATTCTGCTATCTCAAGCTGGAAAGGATTTGAATTAAAGCTTCCAGAGCTAAGGGAGGTTAAGAACACTTTTAAGCAAAAAAGCCAGAAATTAGAAATTCTTACATGTCATGATCACAGTCTTTCAAAAGGAAACTGCTGCGGTTTCTGTCTGTTTTTTGTTGCTTTCCAATGCCTTCAAATATTTTTTAATGATTTTTTTTCAGGTTTTATAATTATAGCTGCAAGAAGCTTTGCACATTGCTAAAATTACCACAAATTCAAACTTTCTTGGGAATATTTTTTAATAATGAGACACCTGGGTGGCTCAGTTGATTAGGAATATTTTTTAATAGTGTGGGTTTTACAGATATTAACAATGCCTGACATATTACAGGAACTCAATTAATATTTGTTGAATAAATTAATCATGGCTTCTCTTTTTTTAGATAATGCAATAAATTTACCTTTGTCTCTGGTTTTGTGTTGTCTTCAAAGTATTAAAGGAAAGAAGACTGATATAAAAATGTAGGCATGTAGCTATCAGTAATATTAAGAAAACAAAGATATACTCAAGTTGTTTATATTATGTCACAAAATCACAGAAATATTAACACATTTCTGTCAAACCTGACACATCATTTTTTCATAAAAATTCAGAAAGAAGGGAGGATGAAGGAATAATGAAAGGTAAAAGGACCGTTTACTAGGAAATCATTTAGTACAAATTTAAGAACTCTCAACTGAAAATCTTCAATTTTAAATTGCTATTGGATATAAAGCCTAAAACACAAATGTAGAAGTAATACTATTTTTATAAATTTTATAAATATTAATTTTCAGGCTACATACACTAAGTGCTTAATTGTTGTGACGTAAGAAATTAAGTGTGAGTTTACAAACTGATTGGTAGATAAGAATAGCCATTTTAATGTTTCTTTACTTTTGAGAGAGAGAGAGAGAGAGAGAGAGAGAGCACAAATGGAGGAGGGACAGACAGAGAAAAGGAAGCACAGAATCTGAATCAGGCTCCAGGCTCTGAGCTGTCAGTGCAGAGCCAACACTGGACTCGAACTCACAAACTGTGAGATCATGACCTGAGCCAAAGTTGGATGCTTAACCAACTAAACTACCCAGGCACCCCAAGAATAGCCATTTTAGAGGTGCAATGCCTAAAAAAAAATCTTAGTAAAGACAAAAATATCTGTGATTTCCTTGCTATAAGCATACATAATCCTCTAAATTTTGTGGATATCAGAAGTGGTGCAATAGATTGAGAAAAATTTTGTAATCAGACTATATTAAAAGGACTCACTTCTCATTGACCACTTAAATAAATAAGTTTCTTAGCCTATCTAACTGTACTTTAGGAAGACAGTTATTACCCCACCTCATATACTTATTTTAAGGAGAAAAATTACAAGAATGTCTGAGTATGCTTGCTATATGATAGGATTCTGACTATATTTTTTTCTTTTTTACAGAAGAGGATAAATATAATATTTATTCTTCTTTGCTCTTCAAGTATTTCCTGGCAGAAGGAATCATCAATGGGCATACTTTGTTGGTTGCATCTGCAAAAGAAGACCCGGCTGATATTTTACAGGTATAGGATATACTATTCAATATTTCATTTTGAACATTTCATGAAAAAATATCGCTTATATATATGTAAACAAAATATATGTTTGTATATATACAAACTGTATTTAAATCCATTAATGGGAACATACATATATTTTATTCTCTTAAAATTTATTTGAACATGTAGTTTCATTTAAAAAAAATTTTTTAATGTTTATTTATTTTTGAGACAGAGAGAGACAGAACATGAGCAGGGGAGGGGCAGAGAGAGAGGGAAACACAGAATCTGAAGCAGGCTCAGGCTCTGAGCTGTCAGCACAGAGCCCGACACGGGGCTTGAACTCACAAACCATGAGATCATGACCTGAGCCGAAGTTGGTTGCTCAACCAACTGAGCCACCCAGGTGCCCCCCTTTTTTTTTTTAATTAAATTTTCTTTTTATGTTTGTTTATTTTTGAGACAGAGAGAAACACATGTAGTTTCATTTTTAAATTAATGTTCTCAGACAATTTTTTAACTTAAAATTGATATTGGCAGTGGGAAAAATAATAATAAGCTACTCAAAACTGAAATACATAAAATTATTGCTATACTATAGTCATGAAAATAAGAGAACTCTGTAAAAAGTTAGGTAAAGAAAAACAACAGCAGAATATTATCGGATATTAAATACCAGTATCCTAAAGATGTAAATCAGAAGAAAGATACAGAAATTAGAAGTACTCATTTATTGAGTACCTCGGTGGCTCAGTCAGTTAAGTGGGCGATTTTGACTCAGGTCATGATCTCAGGTCATGTTGACTCAGGTCATGTTCGTGAGTTCAAGCCCCATGCCGGGCTCTGTGCTGACAGCTCAG